ACAGGACAGGAAGGAACCATAACCCTCCAAGACTACCTGCCAGAGATGTTCTTCCACTTGGTCGACACCAAGGGTTTCTTCGACTACAATGCTAACGAGGTGGCTGAGTTCAAGAATATCCTGACCGGAAAAACCCAGTCTGGCGATATTATCCTTTGGCGTAGGGAAGGCAAAACCAGCACAGCAAAGGAATTGCATCAGAAAATAGAATTTGGACAAAGAATACATGGGATCATCATTGGGATAAAGGCTAATGATCCACGACTGGGAGAGGGGACTCTAAGAGATTACTTGAAACCGATCCGAGATATACTGCGGAAAACTGGTAATGTTTTAATTTTGTTTTTTGCCATTCCATCTATGACATTATCATCGCAGTTAACCAGGCAATGGCAGATCTAGGGTAAGCCTTATGCTCGGCTTAAAAGATAGGGGGTCTGAAAGGTGAACCCGCCTCTTCCCTCCTCTTTTGTCTGCGAAAGAAAGCCGTCCACCATATGCATTTGCTTTTCTCAAAAAAAATATTAGTAATTGTGTATATAGCTTTGATGTATCGCAAGATTGATCAACAGCAAGGAAGGGTATATTATTATTTGAATTTCCGCCATTATTCATTGCAAAGCTATATTGGGAATCAAAAGAACAGGGTATAGCTAAAGAACAGTGCAAAGCCTAACCTAACATTGGGATCAAAAGAACAGGGTAAAGCAAATGAAAAGTGCAAAACCTAACCTGTTTTAGGAATCAAAAGAACAGAGTAAAGCTAAAGAACAGTGCAAAGCCTAAACTATATATAATAGGGTTCAAAAGAACAGGGTAAAGCAAAGGAAGAGTGCCCACACTTTTCCAGATGTTATTACTGATAATCAGGAATCGAAGTTACACTGATCACTGTCAGGCAAAATCTTTGGAAGCAAACACGACATGTCACGGATTGGACGTGGGAAGGGAATGAGAAAAACTACCTTTCTTCTTACATCGACACATTTTTATCTTTTTGTTTGTTTTCGTTTTCCAAAAGGAATTGCACCCATCACTGTTGTTACTCACCGTGACAAACTGAAGGATGAGGAAGAGTGTAAAGACGCCCTTGACGAGGCATCAGCCGCCACTGGAAGTTCTACCAGTCACACATTCTTCATGTGGAACTACACCAAAGAGAACAAGGAACGTAACCCAGAAATAGAAAAAATGGCATTCGACATCCTGCACTATGCGCTGATGACCGCTGAACGAGCAGTGAAGATCATGAAACAAAAAGAGAAGAACAATCAAGAAGATGTAATGATGAAAGCTTTGGAGGGAGTCACCGTCAGTGGACAAGTGGCCCCTGACTCTGAAGACGGTAATTTGTGTGTGTTTTTTTTCATAATTAACAAATCACAATGCTTGTTTATCCCCATTGCCTATTTTATTCATTTTTCTAGTTTGTAGACCTACAAAGTTAACTATTTTGTTTCACGGTATACAAATTGTTCACAAATTTTTCTCTTCTCAAAATGTCTCTTTAGGGCCTCTTCTTGTGGGCCCATTAGCGGGACGAATTTATCTTCTGTTCATGAGTGTCATTTTTGGCTAAAAAAAAAAAAAAACTCAACAAACACGTGCAGCATGGTCAGGCTATCCAATCAGAGCGAACATGTGGTTATAACCGTCTGGAAGATTTCAAAAAAGCCATTGAGCACCATGAACTAGATCTAATATTAATAGAGATTTAACCAAGCCTAAAAGCGGAGCTCTACAGTTATTTACTTGGATGTTGTTAATGAATAACATAATCCAACATGTGGGCAAATTTTGGACGATTTTGTAGTTTTGGCCTGAAATAGACCAATTTGGATATATGAAAATTCAGCCTAAAGTAACAGACCTCAGTAAGAGGCTCTGGGGCATAACTACAGAGTTTGTGGGGTTTATTCCCCAGAGCCTCATGCTGAGGTCTATGTATCGAAATTGCTCTATTGCACTACATCCCAGGGTTCTCATTAATTTAGGGCGTAGACAGCTGATACCAATTTTGAGTGCCAAAGGCACGAGCCCCAAGGAGGTCTGGGGGCATGCTCCCCCAGAAAATTTTGAAATGGAGAGGCTCTGAAATACTATTTCACGCGTTCTCTTGGATATATTTCCTCAAAAATAGTACTACTAATTTTTGGAAAAGGTCAAAATGCTAAGAATTTTAAAGGACAGAGCAGGACGTGTGCCTTTGCTTTCAGTGGGTAGCATTTCCACTGGAATTGATGCTGTAGATGTGCTTGGCATGATACAATCCACACTGGTATCGATCGATGACTCTACCACTGACCGTTCGACTCAACTACTGATTCTTCAAGCACTTCTGTGGCTTTTTCTTTTTTAGAAATCCGGTCATTGTTGTTTGCTGCATCAGTCTTTTTGTTGGGTATGAGTTGGCCGTTTTCAACGTTTGCAGTACAAATAACAAATGAATTAACTCCGAGTCTGTACGTAATCAAGATGCATGCTGGGTTTGGTTTGTGATTGCAGGCGCATGTATGCAAAGCAATATGGCGGTTTGTTGGTGAGGTAAACACGAACCAGCTAGGGATCGAAACAGACCTTAACCAGCAAGTTTATTGTGCAATGCAAAAATGGCTTAGAAGGAGGTTGTCCCTTTTGATGGTAGACATTTTTATTATTTTCATTACTGTTTACAACTTAAACACTGATTATTTCAGGAAAAGTAGGCGCTTCAGAAATTGAAGTAGCCAGTTCTGGAGCCGGTGGCCGGTACTTAATGAGAACCCTGGCATCCACGTTAGATTACATTGTAATGCAAGTGAGGAAAGCTAACCATTATATTAAAAGGGTTATTGGGCTGAATTGTATGCACTAAATAAATCAATGTATGAGAAAACAGGCACGGTTTTCATGTATTGGACACATTTCTTGTGTTTGTGGCCCCACGCATGCAAACTCAATAAACTTTTTCTATAGGGTTACTAATCAGCAGAGCTTTACGATGGTGTGATAGTGAAAAAGAAAATTGAGCCTTAATTCATGGACAAATTTCGGGGGAATAAGCAGTGAGTCCGCCCCCACGCCTTTTTTGTCGTGGATTGATTTTTTCAAGCAATGGTTGATGTAAATCAATCGCTTTTAGCTGCCAAACACTCTCTGTTTCCATTGGAAATTTAACCCAGAATTTAACCCGCTGACTCAGAAGGTTCATATTACAAAAGTGTGCAACTTCAAAAATGGCTGAGAGAGGAAGCGCTTTTAATGACTTCTCTTGCATCGATTCTAGCTATATTTATGCGAAGGATATCAAGAAGGCATTTTTTTAGAGGATGCGGATAATGTCCCCAGAAATGAGGAAGATGCCATGAAGTGTTGTAATGCAGGAACTCGTTCTGCACGATGATGCCCTGTCATACGTAGCGTCCTGGCCAAGGAATTGGAGAATCTAACGGGACCGTAGGAATGGTAAACCGAAATAAATGAGAAGGACTGTTGAACTTGTCTGCTGTTTTAAAAGTTCTGTTGCAAACTGAACCATGATATGAGTGTCTAGTAAATACTACCGCCAGATTCTTTGGCGGGTGTCTGTAGCTACACACAATGTGATTGGCTGTGGCATTTACCAGGACAAGTTATACCATCTCCTGAGGTACTATAACTTGGCGTGAATTTCCGGACATATAGGCGAGATAGTTGCTTGTTTTTTCTGGTGAAAACAGAGTGCATTTTTAACTTGCTAAACTCAAGATGAACTGTTTTCACTGCATTTCCGGACTTTTCCGCTTTCATCTAGCTGACATTGTCCTAATGAAAACACAACCAAGAAGGCAGCTTGAAAAGATTTAAGAGGTGAGCCATCTGATATCTCTGTTTCTCATTTTTCATTGTTGACAGTGGTAAGGCTTCTATCTTCCAGGGTTGACTACAGTTTTACAGTGTATTAAAGTAAGCTTATTTTACACTGGGTTTTGACTCAGTCAGTGTAAAATGCATGCAAACTGCGGACTGCAGACTATACAGACTGTGGACAGGGAGTTAAAATCCCGGGGGTACTCCCAAAAAAATTGGGTGGGGGTGTACGGCCCGCTTCTTAAAACTGTTACCCTGTTTATGCCCAGAATCTGCGCTTTTCCCTGCCCTATTTATGACCTGACCAAAAATTCGAAACCCTGTTTGTGACCTGATTCTTAAATCAATACCCTGTTTTAGGCCTGCCTTATAATTAGTTCCCTAGTTCAGACCAATGTTAAATTGCAGTAAACACAATTTGTGACGGGCTTTCATTGATGGTCTCATCAATAATGATGAAATTGTAGCTTCTTCTTAAAAGCATAATTAACCCCATTTATGACCGAAATGGCCAAAATTCAATATCCCATTTACGACAGCTGAAAAACCATACCCTTTGGGGCCGCACATACCTATATAGCCCATATAAGGGAGTACCCCCCATAGGGGTGGGTGTAAAATGCAGAAATATCTAGGCTGCAGACCAGTGTTAGATTTAGATATTTGGATTTATTTCATTTACTCCATACACTGTACTTACAAAAATAGTGATTAAAATTATAGAAACAGGAGATGGAAGTGACCAAAAGCACTGAGGCGCCATACTAGGGAAATCCCCGTGAATAAAATGTCAAACTTTATATACATAAGTACAATTATATTTAAAAAAAACTCTACATAAACCAAGAAAACAAAAAGTTTTCAAGCTACTCCAAGAAAACTTCTAACCTTTTTTTAAAAATAGATTTTATTAAAATGGAGACAGCAGACTAAAGCCTTTTTCACTTCAAATCATGTTACCATTTCCACCATTGAGAGCTAACTGTAAACAGGCTAACCTGGGCCAAGTGTTGTTCAGGCTAATTAGCCTAACCTGGGTTACATCCAGGGAGTGACATTCCAGAGCGTTATTCAGGCTAACCGGAATGCAGACTTTCACTACATTAGCCTGAATAATCATTTTTATGGTCAGTAAAGGTAAAGGTAAAGGTAAAGTCTGCATACGAGCCAAGTGGCCCATCAGGCCGGAGCTTATCCCAGTTTCTGTAGCATGAAGCGACTAGGAGTATTNNNNCCCCCAGCATTAAGTTTGCCGGTACCCATTTATACACTTGGGTGGAGAGAGGCACTGTGAGAGTAAAGTGTCTTGCCCAAGAACACAACACAATGTCAGGCCAGGGCTCGAACCCGGACCGCTTGATCTGGAGACAAGCGCACTAACCATGAGGCCACCACGCCTCCCTGTTTATGGTCAGTGCCTGATAATAAACAATTACTGGATGAGGTTTTTGTGATATCCAGAATAATCAAGGTCGAGGTAGGGATTATCACTCAAAGCTGAAGGCTGAGGCTAATAACCCTTACAGAGACCTTGATTATTCTGGATATCACAGAAACCGAATCTAATAATTGTTTTATTATACATTGAACAAAAAAAAAAAA